CGGGCTAATAGTTTAAAACAGACACCGAAATTTCCTAAAAAAAAAACAGACACCAAAACTCCGGGGCATGGCTAAGGCTACACTAAAAGGTGCTAGGTCAACACCAATATTGTTATTATTTTTTTTATAAATAGTTAATTATAATATTTTAAAATATTAATTTATAAATTTATTTTAATTTCTTAAATAATATAAATATAAGTAATTGTATCATTTATTAATTAACAGTTATTGTTATTAATTGTTTTTAAAATAATAATTCATAGATAATTTTTATATTATCTCTTTTTATACAAATTTATTTGTTATTTAAATGGTTTTTTTATTCATTTGACTCTTTTTATTACTCATTTTATGATGTATAAAATTATATAAAAAATTATAAAAAAGTTACCTCTACATTATTTTCTTTATTTTTAACAACCAAATGAGTTAGTATTTATTTTATTTTAAATTACACAATATAAAGTAATTCACTAATCCATTTACTTACTCCACCGTTATGCTATTAACTTGAATTCAAAATTTTTCATTTTACTTAAAAAAAAAAAGTGTAAACCATTTAAATAATTGATAAATTAAGTTAGTATTTTAAAGAACATCGTTTCAAAAAAATAGTGTAGCCTTATGACTTATGAGTGTAGCTATAACGATGGCCGAAATTCCTGGTTCTCAGATTCTTTCCGTTGGCGTTAGCCCTTGGTATTAGGTGCTAAAAATTTTCCGGCCCGTCTCCCTATAATCTCTATTCATTTTTTTTTCCCAAACCTTTTGCTTTTTCCTTTTTTGGTAATTGTTTTTGCCAAAACTTCTCTATAAAAAGGACTCTCTCTCAGTCTGCTTTTTTCCTGATCTACATCGGGAAATGCGAAAGAGCGAGGGTCCACAAAGTGGGTGAGAAGCTATTCACCGTACTGTTACGCTCTGTGTGAGCAGGAGGAAGGACAATGGAGAAGTTCTTAAAGGACTTCGAGGTTAACAAGCATGCGTCGGATGAGGCACGGCAGAGATGGAGGTCAGCTGTTACTATCGTCAGAAATCGTCGCCGGAGGTTCCGCATGGTCGCCGATCTCGACAAGCGAACGGAGGTCGAAG